TACTTTGTAAACTTTGAAGTCCTATATAAATGTTATTATTATTATTATCATCATCATTATCATTATACTCAGCCAAAACGTAATACACTCAAACATGTTATACAGGGGAATATTCCTCCTTTGACCTTGGCATAAATCTCCCTAGACTGAAAAATAGAACAGCATGGTCACTGCCCTTTCTTGTTCTCAACATTGTCATCACCCAATATTCACACTGCAGCAAGCTCCAGACAATGATAGACTCAGACACGATGCTTATAGTTTGAAGTCTAGGATCAAAGAATATTAGAATTGGAAGGGACCTCAGAGAACCACATTTAGTCTTAACAGTATTTGTTTTTTGGTGAGGCAATCAAGGTTAAGGAACTTGTTTAGGGTCACACAGCTAGTAGATGTCAAGTGTCTGAGGCTGGATTTGAACTCAGGTCCTCCTGACTCTGAGGCCAGACCTCTATCCATTATGCCACCTAACTGCCCCAGTCTTAACAGTTCTTAATCATAGGTTGTATATTAATAAGAAGAGGGGGTGTAGGAATGGGGTAGGATGGGGGTTATATATGGAATAGCTCCTTGTCTTTCTTCTCTTTCATCTTCTTTTCATTTCTTTGTCTGAGAAGAGGAGGGTATTTAAGACTTGATTGGGAGATGGCTTAATTAGAGAGGTTGGGCTGGAAGGATTGGGTTGACCTGTGGTGGGAGGTTGGACTAGATGGCATTTAAGGTCCCTTATAACTGTAAGAGGGTGGATAGGTAGCACAGTGGCGTGCCAGTCCTGGAGTCAGGATGACTTCTTTTCATGAGTTCAAATCCGGCCTCAGAATGCTTCCTAGCTGTGTGACCCTGGGCAAGTCACTTAACCTTATTGGCCTCAATTCCTCTTTTTGTAAAATGAACTGGAGAAGGAAATGACAAACCAGTCTAGTATCTTTGCCAAGGAAACCCTAAATGAAGTCACAAAGAGTCAGATATGACTGAAAAATGACTTAACTATGATAAACTGAGATGTTCATTTTTCTAAACAAGTTCTGATTTCTGGAAATGGTCATCAATAAGTCTTTAGGAAAAGTTTGCTTCAGGCTCTCATTTTGTTAATCCTCCCAAGAAGTAATTTCTCTCTTTCCTCAGGCCTCTTTGCAATATTTTATTTTTATATTTTCTATGCACTTAACATATTATAATTTCCTTTCCTATCTTATCTTCCTTTATAAGCAGAGACTTATTTTATGATAGAATTACATATTTAGAGCTGAAAGTGACCTTAGAGGTTATCAAGTCCAATCCCTTCATTTTACAAATGAGGAAACTGAGGCTTCTGTTAAGTGACTTGCCCAGGCTAGTAGATTTGAGAGGCAAGATATGAATTAGGGTCCTCCTAACATTAAGTTCCACCCACTATCCATTGAACCACCTATCTGCTTCTTCTCATACTATAAACTTAAAGATAAGGTACTATGTCACATAGTTCATTGATCATAGTAGGTGCTTCATACTTTTTGAATGAAAATGTTTGTTGAATTAGCCATCTTCTTTTTCTTCCAATTCTAACTACAGAGCTTGTATACAATGCTTTTAGTAAGTGTTTATTGAATGAATGGATGGATGGACCTCCAAACCTGGAGCAAACATCAGTGCAGGATTATGAATTGCTTAGGATAGGAATTTTTGTGAGCCAAATTGTGAAGTATCTTCTTTCCCTGGGCCAGGAATCAGGGCAGGAAGCAAACAGACAGAGGTGATTAAATAATGGAAATGTAAGGAAATTATTAAAACAGACCAGTTTAGGAAGTTGAAGGCTGTCTAATGAGATTAAGATTGATGCTATATTGTTTTCTTATTGATTCTCCTTATAAGTAATTGATTTTGTCCTGGAACTGCTCACATGGTACTGTCACAGGTCATTAAAATCATAGATTTATAATTAGAATGGACCTTAGAAGTCAACTTGTTCAATCCCTTTATTTTACAGATGAGGAACCAGAGAGGTTAAATGAATTGATTGAGGTGACATAGGTAATGAGTATTAGAACTTGGATTCAAACTTAAGTCCTGTTATTCCAAGTTCAGCTCTCTTTCTACTACACCACAATGGTCTCTAGTCCTATCACTGTCTCAGTTTCCTTCTTCTAGATGCTCTGTAGTTTGTGGTTCAAAGATCTGAACACAATTCTTCAGATGCGTTGGTCTGATCAAAGCACAACAGAATGATCACTTCCAGTGTTCTGGACACTATGTGTATAAATCACACTAGCATTTTTTTTGACAGCCATGTCACACTATTGATTTATATTGATTTAATTTCAAAAGCAACAACAAAAAGTCTTTTTTACACAAAAGATTGCCCAGTCACAACCCCAAAGTGAAGTTGACTTTTGAACCCAAGCCTACTACTCTATACCATCTACTATATTAGACCTATATACTATAGAGTATATACTGTAGAATATGTAAACTATAGAGTTTATACCATCTAATGAGGAAAAGCTCTCTTTAAAAATCCCCAAATCATATCAGTCATGTGACATCATTCAGCAAATACAAATGAAATAACAAGCATCTTAAGTTAATTGAAAGCTCTACAATTATACAAATGCAAACCAGTCTGATCTTTCTTTCCATCCCCTATGTAACTGTGGCTTCAAATCATTATCTGCAGTGTCCTTCCAAGATTCATATCACAGGAAGACCTCCAGTGATGAGGGGAACCCTCTCTTCCCTGAGGAAGCCTATTCTATTTTCTGAATAGCCCCAATTGTTAAGAAATTTCCCCCCTATATCAAGTCTAAATTCATCTCTTTGCACCTTTAAACCATTGTTCTTAGCTATAATAATCTCTGTTAGAATTCATTTTAGGAGATTCAGTTCATCATTCTAGCCTGTTGAGATATTTCTGGATGTTGTGTTAGTCATCCCTCTTAGCTTTGAGTGATCTGTAAATCTGAGAAGTATGCTAGTTATGTTTTCATCTAAGACCTTGATAAAAGTGTTAAATAACATAAGGTAAATGGCATATCCTTGAAATATTCCACTGGACAGCTCTCAGAATTAAGCAGAGGAAAACATTACTACCTGATGAAATCTGAGAGTACTATGACTAGGTGGTACCAGCAATAACTTACAAGTAAGTTTTGCTGGGGTTAATTTAAATGTTTATCAATTGCCAGGTGATAATAATAGTAATAAAAGACTAAATATGATTCATTTCTCATACTCCAAATCAAATTATCAAGGAAAGACAAGTTGCTAGGCACAAACACTAAATTTTTTCATGTTTATTCATGGATCAAACCAAAATTATCGTTGATATCTCCATGTGAGGGGTAGCTAGATGGCACAATGGATAGAGTTCGAATCAGAAAAAGTCATCTCCCTGAGTTCATATCCGATCTTAGACACTTATTAACTGTGTGACCATGGGCAAGTTACTTAACCCTATTTTTTTGCCTCAATTTCCTTATATGTAAAATGAGCTGGAGAAAGAACTGGCAAACCACTCCAGTGTCTTTACCAAGAAAACCCCAAATGGAGTCAGACAGGATTGGAACAACTGAACAACAACAAAAATTTCCATGTGATTCAGAACGGAAAAAAAAAATGCTTGATGTGGAGTCAGGGGACCCAGGTTCAAACGTCCTTACTTTGGTTATTAGCCATAACAGCCTATTTCTTCTTTCATAAAATAAGAGAGTTGTCTAGATGAATCTAATTCTATGATCCTATGACCCTGCCAGTGATGAACCTCTTCTATTAAGCCTTTTCAGTTACATCCAGGTCTGTAGCCAGGCTTTTTGAGGTTCTCAGGGCAAAGAGTTCTGCTGCTGCCTGGAGGCTATTTTTAGTGCAAGGATGCTAGTGTTCCAAACATGGAAGAAATAATCTGTTAGAAATGAGGCTTTATCTAGTGGTAAACAGTTGGGATTTGCTTTTTATCTTAGGCCCAAAGATCAGTGACAAATATGTGTAGGAAAGGCCAAAAGAAACTGCTTCACCAGTATCTGGAATAATCATAACAATGATCTCAGGGCTAGATTCCAAGACTACAGCCTAATATAACCTAAACATTTTATGGGGGAAAAAAGTACACTAAGGACTAATTAAGGGAGGATGTAAGCAAATTCAGTACTTTGATATGTGTTATGTTTAGAATATGACTAGGAATCAGGAGTCCTGGATCCTTTCCCATCTAGACTAATTCCATTCCTGATCACGGGGCCATCGTCCCATTCTCTTTCCGGGATCTCAAATGGGGGGTGAAGGTGGGGAAGGAGATAGACTAGATCATAACCAAAGTCTCTTCCAGATAAAAACTCCGTCTTTTTTTTTTCTTATAGTTTTAAGAATTTAAGAAATATCCTTTCTTTCATTTTTGGCTATGGGCACAATATGAGATTGATTGGCAAAATGTAAGGTGGGTATAGGATGGCTGCAGGCTTTTTTTTTTTTTAAGTTTTCTGGTTGGATGGGAGGTGGAAGAAGGTAAGTGGCAAAAATCTAGAGAAGTAATAGAAATTGCTGGAGAGCAGGTGTGAGCCGGTGACTTGGGTATACAAAGGATGTGGGCTGTGCTGGGTCTCGTGGTTAGGGGTGTATTGGGGAGGGGAAGCAGGGTGTGTGTGCAGGGCAGGGGAGAAGGGAGAAGGGGGCTGGGCATCAGGGTGTCCAGGAAAGGAGGCGGCGGGGAGCTCGGGGGCAGGGGTGTGAGCGTGCGGCTTTGAAGACTAGGATGGAAAACGGAACCGTGGACCCGCAGATGCTGAGGCGGGGGCGGGGGTGGGAAAGATTGCCGGGGTCTACTGCCCAGTGGGTTGTAAATCACCGCGGCGCCCAGGAGGGAGGAGGGGACGGAGAAAAGGAGCTGGGTGGGGGCGGAGGCGTGGTCCTCCTCCTCCTGCCCCCCCTTCTCCGCCTCCTTTCCCTCCCGTCTCCAAGCCCAAGCCCCTCTCCCCCCTCCTTGGAGGAAGCTCCTGAGCCAATGGGAGCGGGGTATGTTAGCGGGTGGGAGGCGGCGGCCGCGTTGCTAAAGCAGGAGCTTGGGCGGCGGCGGCGGCGGGAGCGGGAGGAGCCGGAGCCCGAGAGTAGGAGCCTGTGGCGCCATGGAGGGGCTGGGAGGTGAGCGAGGGGCCGTGCGGAGGGGAATGGCCGCCCCTGTCCGGAGCGACCCCGGTGCCTGGGGGCCCAAGAGGCGGGGCCCGGGGTGGCCGCGGCCTCGGTCTGGGGCGGGCGGGAGGGGGAGCCGGGGCGCGGGGGGCAGCGCGGGGCGGACGGGCGGCCCCACCTGCTCCCAGCCCCGCCCCAGAGCCCCTGCCCAGGGGAAGCCCCGCGGTCTTGGGGCATCCTCCGAGTCATCCCCCGCCGTGATTTGTGCCCCTCTTCCTCTGCCCGGGACACGCCCACCCCCAGTTATATCCTTCCCTCTGTCCATCTCTCCGGCCCGTGGTGGTCTCAGCTTCTTGCAGGGCGTTTGAGTTCCTCAGTGGGCCCCCCCCCCCCCCGCCAGCTCCTTGGACTCTTCATTGTCTTCCTCCCCTCCTCCCCCTTCTCCGCGGCGGCCGTGGGGCGTGTCCCCACGTTCTGCTTTTTGCTTGGGCCAGTTTGTTATGGAAACCTTAAAAAACAAAACCATCTGCCGCATCATCCCCCCCCCCGCCCCCCCGGGTGTCCGAGCGCGGCGGCCCAGGATCCCCGGACCCGGGTCCGAGGCGACCCAGGGCGGCGGGAGCTACGCTGATTGTGCCCGCGGGAGGCTGCTGGGCGGTCGAGGTTTTTGCTCTTTCTGCCGCTTGTTATTTCTATTCACTTGCCCTTCCAACACCCCCACATTGGGATGGTTCATCGAAAACAAGAAAGTTGGGTTTCTCGTAGATTTTGATCAATAATAGCAGTAGTTGACTTTTAAAAGGTGTTCGGCCCCCTGGGGTCTCTTTCTCTTTCTTATTTTTGCCTAGTTTAACGTCAGTTTTGGGAGAATTGTGTGAACTTGGGGATTGGCCTCATGGTACAAAAGGGGGAAAATTTTGTGGTGTGAAATGGAGAGTAAAATGATTTTTTCCCTTGAATACTCAATATGCCAAAGGGCAACTAAAGTGTATTATGATGAGATGATGTGAATTATTTTGCAGAGTTACTTTCTTCCAAGAACAATTTTTTCCGTTTAATCTAGCAGCTTCTTGGCTTTTCCTTCACGATATGTCTTGCTTACAGTCATATCTATGCCAAGTAAGTGTTTAATATAAAACTATGAAGAAGAATGAAGAAAATGTTAGAAGCAGTTTTTTTTTAAACCAAATTCTGTTTGTGGCCAGGAGAAATACATTAGGACATAGCTATCGAGTTCTAGATTCTTTTTTTTTCCCTGTAGTTTGATTGGCAGATCACTTACTCTGTTCCAATGTCTGTAAAATAGGGGAAGCTGGTAATTGTTCACTTAAGATACTAAAATGTAAGATTATAAAAAAAAAACCCAAGTAACTTTATGGATTAACTTTTAAAAATTTATTTTGTATGGTCTGAACATTATTGACAGATAATTAATATTTTAAATTTTTTGAAATTTCAAAGTTCTTTTAAAAGAGCAGAACGCTACTAGTTCTGAACAGCTTAAATCACAACTTTGATACTTGGAAAGATTTCTGAATTCATTGGTCCAGGCTCTCCCTTCACTGACACAGTCCCTACCACAGCGTTTATCAAAATCTTTGCCAGGCCCTTCAGTTCATCACAGAGAGTGTGTCCAGGCTTCTGGTGAACTTAGCTGTTTCTTAAAGGGAAGGCACACTATAATTTGGTTGTAACTGAAGATTTTCCATCCTTATAAGACTTTCCAGGGCTTGAATATCATAGCCGTTAACTTTGACCTTTGGGTCAGCATTGGGATAAGTTTTTATTTAGTGATAATTTAATGCAACTAGAATGTGTGTGTACCTCAGAGGTTTGTTATGTATGTAGTTGTAATAGTACTTTTTTTTCCCCTAAGTGGGTAGTATAAAGGGTCTACTTTTAATTCGATTTTATTTACAATATGCTATTTTTTTATCACAATTATTTGTGAAATAGTAATGTTTGTCATGAAGAACAGAGTTCAAAACTGACCTCACACACTTATTAGCTATTTGACCTTGGGCGCATCACTGTCTGAGTTTCCTCAAATGTAAAATGGGGATAATAATAGCACTTACCTTGAAGGGTTGTTTTGAGGATCAAATGAAATCATATTTATAAAAAGCTTTTAATTCAGTGCCTAGGACATAGCAGGCACTGTATCAATGCTTATTTCCTCCCTCCCTCCCTCTATTTTTGGGACAAAAAAATACTAAATACTGCTTAATGAGAGACCAACGAAAAAAGAGCCTGTTGCGTTATAGAAGTGGCTGTGATATTCTGATTGAGCAAGCAAGTTTTTTTCTTCTTAGAAAACTTCTAGGAGAAGACTGCTTCTGAGCGAAACTATTAGCCAGACAAATCTGGGTATGAGCATATGACTACTTATGCCCACAAATAATTCTAGCAGAGATAAATTAAATTTCATAAAATATTAGTATTGATTCTCTACCACAATGTGTATTGTTATTTATAGTTAAGTCAGGCATGTAGTCCCTCCTGTGTTGTCAAACAGAGAAGTTGAGCCAGGAAGAATTAGGGGAGTAATACAAAAGACTTGTATATGTTTGTATCTATCTCCATTGAATGTTTCTCCCCTGGTATCCCAAAAGTAAATATAGATGATTTGAAGATTATTATTAATAATTTGCTTGCCACATTCCCTCTGTATCAGTAGTTAACTAGATTTTTACCTTAACAAAAATTAAAACAGTAATTTTTCAGTGAGGAGCATTGGGGGTAGAGGAAGCATGAAATAGAAATAGATACCTTCATGAGGCATGAAATAGAAAGATACTTCCTTTTGAGTTAGGAAACCTGAATTCCAGTCAAGTTGTGCTTGATGCTTTCACCAACTTGTCACATAACCTTGGCTAAGTAACTTAATATTATTAGGAGCCTCATATTCCTCACTTGTAAAATTATATACTTGGATTACATAACTTCTGTGGTTCTTTCCAGCTCTGAAATATTATAATTTTATTGAAGTGATAAATTTATGAGCCCTTGCTGATTCTTTCTGTTCCCATCCATCCATGACTTACCTGTATTACTATTGTTTTTTCCTTTTCTTTAAAAATTTTTAAAATTAATTTTAAACTTAAATACAAAATGAGAAAAGAAAAAAAACTTTCTAAGTGTGGAACATAAGAGAATATTCAATATAAAACAATAAATTTCCATTTCAAGAAAACCTATGTAATAAATACAATACATTGTTTTAAAGCTACCTGGGAGGTGGATAGCATCTTTCTTTTTAGGTACAAGTCGTTTCATGTTTTTCTAAATCAACCAGCTCATCATTTCTTGTATCAGAGTAGTATTCCATCACAATCATATACACACAGTTTGTTTAACCATTCCCCAGTTGAGGGGCATCTGTCATTTTAGCCAATCTGATAGGTGTAAAATGATATCTCAAAGTTATTTTTTGTTTGCATTTCTTTAATCAGTAGTGATTTAGAGAATTTTTTTCGTATATCTCTGTGTATATATACACACATATATATTGTTTTGATTTTTTTTCCACTGAAAAGCTGCCATTCATATCCCTTGATCATTTGGGGTATGACTCATATTCTTATAAATTTTACAAAGTTCATTATATATTTGAGAAATGAAACCTAAACAATATGAATAATATTGGTGGCACATAGTGTAGTTTCCCTATTTTTCTCTTTTAATTAAATTTATTTTAGCTTTAACTTTGAGATCATGATTACTACCCCTGCTTTTTTTTTTCCATTTTTTTAGGTAATTGGGGCTACGTGACTTGCCCAGGGTCACATAGCTAGTAAGTGTCAAGTGTTTGGTCTGAGGCCAGATTTGAACTTAGGTCCTCCTGACTCCAGGGCTGGTGCTCTATCATCTGCACCACCTAGTTGTCCCTACCCCTGCTTTTCTTACATAATACTACTCCAGCCTTTTATTTTATCTGTGTGTATTTTATTTTTATTGTGTTTCCTGAAAGTGACATAGTGTTGAATTCAAATTTTTAATCCATTCTGCTGTTTCTGTTTTATGGATAAATTCATCCCATTCACGTTCTAAGTTATTATTCTTCACTACCCTTCTCACCCTATTTACCTTATCCCTCCTCACTCCTCTAATTTACTTCTACCATCTACCTTGCTCTCCTATGCTTTAATCTACCCACTCCTCTAAGAGTCCCTCCTTTATCCTCTCCCCCCATCCTCTATCTTAATCTACCTGTCTTTCTATGAGTTTCACCCTTATCCCCTCTTTCCTCGTAATTCTTAATCTAAAACCTTTCTAAAAGTCCTTCCCTTATCCTATCCCCTTGCCCTCTTATTTCTTTCTAAATATAGAAGACTTTTATACCCTCCTAGATGTATATATTGTTCCCTCTTTAACCCATTTCCTATGAGAGTAAGGTTCCAGCACTACCAGTCCCCTCCCTTCCCATGCTTCTCTATCAATCCTTCCTTTCATGCCTCATTTATATGAGGTAATTACTCCTTTCTTTCTCTTCCTAGCAGTTTTATTTTTTTTTAGAATCACCTCATCATGCACAAGCCTTTCTTTCAAACTACCCAGATATGATGGCAGTCATAAGTGTACTGCTGACATTTTCACATATATAAGAAGTGAACAGTTTGATGTTATTGAGTCCCTTATAATTGGTCTTTAATATTTGCCTTCTATTTTTCCTGGATCTTATATGTTGAATTTTCCATTAAGTTCTGTTCTTTTTGTTACAAATGCCTGAAAGTCTTTCATTTTGTTAAATGTCCTTTTTCTTTTTCATTTAAGGTTATGCTTAACATTGCTGTGTAAGTTAACCCTTGTTCATAACCCCAGCCCTTTTGCTGTACAGAATATAGTGTTCCAGTACATAAAATCCTTCAAAGTAGTAGCTGCTAGGTCTTGGGTAAACCTGATTGTAGCTCCACAGTATTTAAATTGTTTTTATTCTTGTTTCTTACAATATTTTTCCTTAACCTGGGAACTTTGAAACTTGGCTATGATATTCCTCTAAGTTTTACTTTTGG